CGTTCTTCTTGTTTCTTTTCTTGTTTAATTTCTCGTTCTTCTTGTTTCTTTTCTTTTTCCTCTAACAACTGTTGTAATTCACGTGACTCGCTGACGCAACAGTACTTTATAAACATATCCAATTTTAAGTGTAGGATTGAATTATTACACAATACAAGTAAGTCTTAGTCATTGGTTAATTTATGGAACTATACAACTAAATAGAGGTGGGCTAAATTACAAAAGCGTATATAACTATAAATGTGTGTTGAAATCATATACAAAGTGTTTCTGGACATCGGTGTTGAATGATATCGAGGAAATACGAAATACCTAGCTTGATTTCGTAATTATGTCATTTGTACGGGGACGCACTATATGTTTTCCACTTCATAAGGGTGAAAGTAAAATTTTGTTTTTCGTAGTTCCCTAATTAGACAGAGGGAGACGCTAAAGTGAATTACTAATTTAACCTTCATTAAGTGGTTAACGAAGCCAGGTGAAGGCCAAGGCCTACTTATTCGATTCTCTTACAGCAATAACAACGCTGTTTTCCATTAGTAAGCTGACTGTTTCGTGTTGGCGAATCAGATAATAGTTGCTAATGGATCGTTCTTGATCACTAACTGTTGGGCATGTGATCTGACAAGAACCAATCACTGTTTTCTGTGTTAAGAACTTGAGGGTTTATTGATGTATTAAAGGTAGTGTCTAGGGTTAGGAAGGCAGGTTTTATCCTGATTTAACGAAGATTTAACCCAGTTTTAACACATATTGGGTACAGATGAACAGTTTGCCTTTCTTTCCTATTTTCGTAGTTTTGATTCAATAAGTATTTAGCAGAAACCTTCAATTCTTACTGCGTTCCTTTCTAATTTTACTTTTATTTCAAGAGAAAAGTTCGTGTGTTTCCCGAGTGTACTTATATTTTTCTCTCACTAGGTGAGGAAGATTAGTGTCTGTGTAGCGTTGACTCTACTATTTAAGATTTAAAGGGTTTTCGTGGATTTGGTGGTGAAATCCTAGTAAGACCTTGGATTTCACACAGTATATTTTTGTATGGTTTATTGCAGTTTTAAGCTTAACTCGGGGTACCCTCCCTTCAATGTTTTCTTTTAACTTAGTTAACTTGCATGAAGTCTCCTTTGTGAGTCACACACATGAACACTTGCCCCACAGTTAATTGTCTTATTATTTATTAGTATTGTTACGACAGCGGAAGTCACGTGACGCTGTTAACACGTAATGAGTTCTAGAAAGATCGGGGAACATCACGAATAATCCAGTATTTGCTAGGCGCCTTCTATTCTTGTATATAAGTGCGCCAGACAATTAATCGGAATGGTGTAGCAGACAGAGAGATTGAAGATATAGACGGACAATTGAGTCAAGCGCGGTATTAAGTAAAGTGCGTGAATCGTTCGTTGTAAATTATAGCGTGTGTTTAAGTTGAGGTGACTGTGGAAATTAAGTGTATT